CGACGCATAGCAAGACGTGCAACAGCCTCGCGTGTGGCCCATTGTGAGCGAACAGTGGCGTCAGCATCAGAAGTAGGGGAAGGAGAGGCACCAGAAGTGAAGTGAAAGAGGGAGAGACCGTCTGCCCTATCGCACTGTAGGAAAAGCTGTAGGTCATCTATCCAGACATCAAAGTCAATGGCCCGACCCTCAGCGTCAAAAGCAAGGACACTAGGGGTAGCCATGACAGCAGTAGACTAGCAGTGCGAACAGTAGGGTAAGGGAAGTGCAGTGACAGAGGCGCTGCTCTTACCGGACAGGGCGGCTCGGGCAGCTCGGGCGGCTCGGGTGGTACGGCGGCTCAGCAGCAACTGCGGCTCGACGACGCGGCGTCACTGGCGGCTCGGGCGGCTTGGCGGTACGGCGGCTCGGCAGCTCGACGACTCAGCGGCTCGGGCAGCTCAGGCGGCTCAGGTGGCGCGGCGGCTCGGCAGCAGCTCGGCGGCGTCGGGGGCTCGGTGGTGACGGCGGGGCCGCGTGGGGACGGCGGCGGGGCCGGGTGGAGCGGCGACGGGGCCAGGTGGAGCGGTGAGGCCGGGAGGAGCGGCGGCGGGGCCGTGCGAGGCGGCGTCGGGGCCGGGAAGGGCTGTGCCGGGGCCGCAGGGTAGGCTGCGGGGCCAGCAGAGGAAGCGCCGGGGCCGGGAAGGGCGGCGCCGAGGCCAGCAGAGGTAGGCGACGGGGCCAGCAGGGGCGGCTCCGGGGCCGGGAAGGGCAGCGCCGGGGCCGCAGGGGTAGGCAACGGGGCCAGCCGAGGTGGCGCCGGGGCCGGGAAGGGCGGCACCGGGGCCGCAGGAGTAGGCGACGGGGCCGCTAGGGCGGTGCAAGGGGCCACAAGGGCGGCGCACGGTGGGCCGACGGGCGGCTTGAGGGGCCGCTAGGGCGGCGCACTGAGCCGACGGGTGGCGCGAGGGGCCGCTAGGGCGGCGCGCGGGTTCGACTAGCGGCGCGAGTGGCCGATGGGCGGTGCAAAGGGCCGCAAGGGCGGTGCGCGGGGCCGTAAAGGGCGGTGCGCGGGGCCGCAAGGGCGGTGCACGAGGCTGTAAGAGCGGCTCAAGGGGCCGTGAGAGGGGCCGCTATGGGCGGCGCGACGGTAGGGAGGGCACGCGGGGTGCGACTCGGGCAAGAGCGAAGCGCGCTCCGGGCAGGAAAAAATATGTTCGAGGTGGGCCTTAGAAAGTGTTCCTACTAGGGAACCTGCTCTGAAACCATGAGAAGAAACGAGAATGAATAAACTATGAAAGAGTTGGGTACAAGTACTAACCCAAATTGGGTTGTACCCCTTATGGACTAACCCACTACAGCCTACACAAATGTATATGAGAAGAAGTGAACGAGGATGGATGAACTATGAATGAAGTGAGTACAAATATGAAACCCTAATTGGGTTGTACCCCCTATGGGATACCCCACTATAGCCTACACAAATAAGTGAGCTACAATGTTCTGACACACCCCCATAGGCAAAGTGGGGGAGAACAAGGGGTCACAAGACCAGTCAAGCAAAGCAAAGCAAAGCTCAGGGTGGATCACAAAGTCACGACACATTCCGAGCGCAAGGTCAAGGGCCACAAGGCCAGTTCGCATGCAAGATCATATATAGAGATATACAAGAGTCAAGCAAGCAAGAGCAAGAGTATATATAGGTCAAGGTACAAGCAAGATCAAGAAGTGAGCAAGTGAGGCAAGACAGGCACAAGACCCAGCTGCGTGCAGCAACGCTGATGATCACAAGGCGCAAGTGCCTTGGTGAAGACATCAGCAGTGTTGGCCTCAGAGGCGACGTACGCAAGTCGCAACTGTCCACGCTGCTGTAGCTCACGAGCAAGAAAGTAGCGGAGAGCAATGTGCTTTGTTCTGTGCTCCAGTCGCTGCTCTCGACACAAGGCCAGCATGGCCTTGTTGTCTACGTACAGGACTGGAGGAGAACAAGGCGGCTCTCCAAGGTCGGTCAGCAGGTAGGTGAGCCAGCGAAGCTCCTGAGCAGCCATAGCCCCGGCGTAGATCTCAGCCTCACAACTGGAGCCAAGAACAGAAGACGAGCGAGTAGCCCGCCACGAGATAGAGCCGGAACCAAGGCCGAAGGTCTAACCCTGTGACGACCGCTGCGTAGCCTGGTCGTCAGCCCAAGAAGCGTCCGCGTGCCCAGTGAGGACCACTGGACTGCGCCCTCCAAGCACTAGCCCCATGCCCGACGTACTGCACAAGTAGCGCAACACCCTCTTCGCTGCAGCCATGTGCTCTGGTCGGTGTCTCCCAGGAGCAACATAGCGCGCGAGAATGCTGAGAGGGTATGCAAGGTCAGGTCGTGTGCAGGTCATTAGGTACATGAGGCAGCCAACAAGCTCTGCATACGGGCCACTCGACTCTACGGACTCATCCGAAGGCAGAGCTGAGAGCGAGTGGCGAGTAGGCAGAGGAGTGGCCTGAGGCGAGGAGTACGTGAAGCCGAAGCGCTGAAGGACCTGCTGCACTATGTGTGACTGAGTCAGGGTAATGGTGCGGCGTGCTCTGTCCCGGGTGATCTGCAAGCCAAGGTAGCTGCGCAGTTCACCCAGGTCAGTGCACGTGTGTCTCTTCTGCAGCTCGGACTTCACGTAGGCGAGTCCAGCAGTGTCAGCAGTGGCAAAGACCAAGTCGTCGACGTACACGAGGATGTAGAACGGCGGCAGAGAGGTGTCGGTGCGCAGAAACAGCGACGGGTCGGCAGTAGAAGGAGCAAACCCAAGTGCCGCAAGCGTAGTCCTTTGTGTGTCGTGCCACTCACGTGGCGCCTGGCGGAGACCGTAGACTGGACGCCGGAGACTCCACTGGGTACCAGGAGGGAAAGACCCAGTGAAGCCAGGTGGGCGACGCAGCCAGATCTCCTCGTGCAGGCTGCCCTGCAAGAAAGCTGTGCTGAAGTCGAGAGAGTGCAGCTCGTAGTCGCGGTGAGCAGCAACGTGCAGCAGTACTCGAAGAGTGGTCATCTTCGGGGTGGGGGAGAAGGTCTGAAAGTAGTCAACTCCCTGTCGCTGACTGAAGCCACGAGCCACGTAACGAGCCTTGAAGACAGGCGGAGAACCCGGCGGTCGCTTCACCCTGAAGATCCACATGCCACTGACGATGTTCGCCCCAGGAGGGGGAACAGCGTCAACGTAGGTGCCTGTGGACTTCCAGGAAGCCATCTCTGCATCCATAGCTGCCTGCCACTGAGAGGAGTAGGGACCCTCTATCGCCTCCGCGTAAGAGCGCGGAGTCGGGATGTCTAGTGCATCCGGGTCTCCCTCAGGGGCGAGCAGTACAGACGCGAGATGAGGTGAAGCGGCGGCCAGACACTGGAACTCCTCCTGCCTGTCCTCAAGGACGTCCGTGCCTAGGGCACACTCACCCCCGACGGACGGAGGACAGGCAGACTCAAACTCAGCGACAAGACTAGCAGCGTAGTCTAGACGACAGCGCGCAGCAAAGTCGACAAGCTCAGTGACAAGGGCAGACGCAGCAGAAGACTCGAAAGAAGGGTCAGTGACAGCAGTAGCAAGGAGACGCGTGAGAGTGGGATTGGCAGCACGAAGAGAGTCCGACTCCGGGTCGGCAAGAGCAGGAAGAGAGGAAGCAGGAGGAGAAGGCAAAGGGGCACGCAGAGGAGCAGTAGACGGACGCAGAGACATCCGGTGCGTGCCAGGGACAGGAGGAGGACGCTGACGTGAACCGCGACCACTAGTGCGTGCAGTGCGAGCAGGCAACGCAGGACGAGACGCAGGCTCACGACGCTCAGTAAGACCTCCAGTCGGACCAGCGTAGGGAGAAGGAGCAGGCAAAGGGGAGGCAGGCTGTAGCTGTAACTGTGACGGGACTGGCTGTGGACTCTCTAAGGGAGGAGGAGGAGGACCAGGAGAAGGTGTCAGACCAACAACCTGCTGCAGGCGCGGAACGAAGTACGGTCGGGGCCGCGTGGCGACGCCAGAAACAGCAGGGACAGCACCAGTACCCCCAGCAAGAGTACCCGCTCCAGCAGCACCTCCAGCAGCACCTCCAGCACCCCCAGCAGCACCAGGAGCACTGCCAGTCGAACCGCCAGCAGTAGTCTCAGCGCCAACACCCTCAGCAATACCAGCTCCAGGAGAACCCGCAGACCCAGCAGCTCCAGCACCCACAGCACGAGCACCTCCGGGACGTGCGGCAGCAGCGCCCTCTGCAGCCGAAGAACCTCCAGCACCAGCAGCACGCCTCCAGCGCCGGGCAAACCACTCACGCAGCTCCTGTGGGGAGAGTGGCTCTCGGCGAGACGAAGCACCTCCAGGCGGAGAACCTCCAGGCTCAGCACCCTCAGGCTAAACACATCCAGACGGAGCACCCCCAGTCTCAGCACCCCTAGGCTCAGCACCCCCAGGCTCAGCACCCCCAGACTCCGCACCCCCAGGCTCAGCACCCCCAGGCCTAGCTCCCGCAGCAGCACCAGAGTCACCAGTGACCTCGACAGGCTCGACCGCGTCTACCTGGGACACACCTGAAGGGGCAGGACCCTGAGGGGGGAGGGGGTCTACCGGGGGGGGACCTGGTACCAAGAAGAGCGGGGGCGGGGGAAGGGAAGGAGTGCGGTAGGGGAAGAGGCGGTAGTAGGGTACCGACTCATCGAACGTGACGTCCTGGGAGGACAGAACACGTCGAGAGGTGGGGTGGTAGAACTGCCACCCAGGGGCGTCGGGGGGGAACCTTAGGAAGACGCAGGGAGCAGCGCGAGGGGACAGCTTGTCCGCAGACAAGTCGCGGACAAACGCCCGAGATCCCCAGACCCAGAACGCCGACGCATCGCCAACCTTCCCCGTCCACAGTAGGGCTCGGGAGGTCTCCGGCCTGGAGACCCTGGGGTGGAGGTTGATCTGATGCGCCGCGTACCTGACCGCAAACGGCCACAGAAAATGGGGGGCAGCCGCATGCATCATAGACGTACGAGCGACGTCCATGACCATGCCAATGCGGCGCTATGCAATCCCATTTTGCTGCGGTGAGTCCGGAAGCGTGAAGGTCTGGCGGATGCCTCGCGCACGACAGAAGGCACGCAGAAGGCCAGAGGAGAACTCTCCGCCTCTGTCCGAGTGCAGACGCAACACAGGAAAGTCCGAGCCAAAGCTCTGCCTGAGCTGGAGACAAGCTGCGCGGATCCAGTCGATCAGCACCTCAGTGAGATCACCCTTGTTGCGCAAGGGGAAGACTGTGGTGTAACGCGAGTAGTCGTCAACCACCAACAGGAAGTAGCGCTCGTGACCGAGTCCACGGACGCGGGCAGGGCCCCACACGTCCATGTGAAGTGTCTGCAACGGAGCCTCTGATGGAAGAAACTGGGAGGAGTGAAGGGCAGCACGCTGGCGCCCCTCGACACAGGGGACACAGGCAGGGCCAGGGCCCTGAGGAAGGGGAGGGAGGGACCGGGGGAGACCAGACACAAGAAGACGGGAGGCCATGCCTCTGAGCCGAAGCAGAGAGGGGTGGCCAAGGCGGTGGTGCTAGAGGAGAGTCTCGTGAGACAGACGGCGACACGAACAGGGGGCAGACTCAGGACCAGACCTGGACGCTGCAGCAAACACCTGACCAGACGAAGGGACTCTACCAGACTCAGCACCGGGAGGAGAAGCAGTGGTCAGTGTGTACAGGCTCGACCCTGGCTGACGTCTAAACGTAGCCAGGTGGCGACCTGTGCTCGCCTCTGTGCAGTGTGTCACCCGCTGACGAGCAGGAGTGAACTGGTGGACCCCACATCCTGTAGGTCAGCACCACTCACCAGGTTCGTAGAGAACGAGGGGAGGTAAAGACCAGTCAGGGTGCCAGAGGGAGCCGCCGGACACGGGAGGACTGTGGAGAAACGAGACAGGACAGGACCCCCAGAGGGGTCAGCCAGGGACACCGCAACAGGCCGACTAAGCGGCGTGAGAGTGGTGCGGTCCCGAAAGAAGGAGCGAGACGCCCCAGAGTCAAGGGTGAAGGTGTGGGAGGCAGAAGCCGACACAGTACCTGAGAGGGCAGACTCACTAGCACGTGAGAGCACAGACGCACTGGCACCTAGAGCAGCAGCCTCACTGGCACCTGACACAGCAGTACCAATGCCCGGGTCGGGCGGAAAGCACCGGTAACAGTCACCATCATCACTAACACTCACAGCATACATGGCAGCAAGGATAGCATCAAAGTCAAGATCAAACACAGCTACACCAGCCCTAGACAGCTCTCCCCAGCGGGGGATCTCAGAGGCCTCCGGAAATTGCTGGCGCCAAGCGTCGGTCAGGCGGGCAAAGCAGCGGCGAGCGGTGTGGGTGCCCCCACACTGCTCACCCGTGCGGTCGCCGGTGCGAAGGACGTAGGTGCAGGGACCGAACGCCCCACCACGCTGACGCTGCGAGTACCACTCACGGAGCTGCTGAGGGGCGGAGACGTTGCGAGAGCGCTGCTGCTGCTGCTGCTGCTGCTGGCGCTGACCACCCCTAGTGCCGCTCCTCTGGGACGAGCCACTCCGACCACCTCCACCACCGCCACCCCCGCCTCCGCCGCCACCGCCGCCACCGCCGCCACCGCCACCCTCGCCCCCGCCGCTCCCACTGCCTCCTCCGCCACCACCTCCGCCGCCACCTCCGCCTCCACCGCCGCCACCAGGACCTCCACCCCCGCCTCCACCCCCACCGCCACCCCCACTCCCCCCGCCGCCCCCACCTCCTCCGCCACCGCCACCGCTAGCTCCACCCGCTCCCTTGCCCCCCTTGCTCCTGCCAGAGCGGCGCCTACCGCTGGGGGCAGACGCCGCACCGACCGACTCTAAACCAACGAGGTCGGCCGCAGCAGCAGAGGCGACAGAGGGTAGCAGGGGGGAAGGAGAACACCCCTCAAAGATGGGGGTGCGCGGGTCACCACGAGAGGCCCCTACAGCGACTATGCTCTTCTCGGCCGCTAGCAGGGACTTCTCAAGGAGGTCGACAATGAGGGTGGTGGGACAGACAGAGAGAAGCTGGTCCTGAACAGCACGAAGGGACTCAGGGAGACGGGTGACTAGAAAGTAGAGGGTGATGTGTCAGATTTATATGACATAGTTGCTGTAGGCTATAGTGGGGTAGCACATATGGGGTACAGGGTTTCTAGGGTTGTATTTGTACCCAATCTTTCCTTAGTCATTTCATTCCTGTTTTCCTTGCTTCACATGGTATCAGAGCGGGTCCTGCCTTAGGACCGTTTTTTTTAGGGCCCACCGAAGCGCGCCCCAAGGCGCGCCTTTTTTTAGCGACCCCTCGGGTCGCCTTTTCCCTCGCGGCCACGCCGCCTGCTTGACGCGGCCCCGCCGCCTCCCCTGACGCGGCCCCGCCGCCTCCCCTGACGCGGCCCCGCCGCCTCCCCTGACGCGGCCCCGCCGCCTCCCCTGACGCGGCCCCGCCTCTACTGCTGCGGCCCCGCCGCCGCCTCTGTCGGCCCCGCCGCTGCACCCTACGGCCCGCCGCTGCACCCTACGGCCCGCCGCCTCTGACGGCCCCGCTGCTGCACCCTACGGCCCGCCGCTGCTCCTGCCGGCCCGCCGCCTCACCTGACGGCCCCGCCGCTGCTCCTGCCGGCCCGCCGCTGCTCCTGCCGGCCCGCCGCTGCACCTGCCGGCCCGCCGCTGCACCCAGCGGCCCGCCGCTTCACCTGACGGCCCCGCCGCTGCACCTGCCGGCCCGCCGCTGCACCCTACGGCCCGCCGCTGCACCCTACGGCCCGCCGCGCTGCACCTGCCGGCCCGCCGCTGCACCTGCCGGCCCGCCACTGCACCTACCGGCCCGCCACTGCACCGGTCGACCCGCCGCTGCACCTGACGGCCCCGCCCCTGCATCTCCCGGCCGAGCCGCCCCCGCAGCCGAACCGCCCGGGAGCCGAGCCGCCCAACGCCGAGCCGCCCGGGACCCGAGCCGCCCAGCCGCCGAGCCGCCCGGGAGCCGAGCCGCCCTGCACCCGAGCCGCCCAGCCGCCGAGCCGTCCGGGAGCCGAGCCGCCCTGCGCCCCAGCCGCCCAGCCATCGAGCCGCTGTGCACCCGAGCCGCCCGGTCGCTGAGCCGCCTTTCTGCAGAGCTGCACGACCTGCCCTGCCTGGTGAGCACAGTCCCACTGACACTGCGAGCTCTTTCCCTACTGCTTGCACTGCGTCGCTGTCGTCGCCATGGCTACCCCTAGTGTCCTAGCTTTTGACGCTGAGGGTCGCGCCATTGATTTTGAGGTCTGGTTAGACGACCTTGAGCTGTTCTTACAGTGCGACAGGGCTGACGACCTTTCTCTCTTTGACCTCACCTCTGGCGCCTCTCCTGCTCCTGCTGCTGATGCTGATCCCACTGTCCGCTCTAAGTGGGCCACCCGCGATGCTGCTGCACGTCTTGCTGTGCGTCGCCACCTCCCTACCTCTGAGCGTGCGCACTTTAGTCAGTACAAGAGTGCTCAGACCTTGTACGACGCTGTAGTTGCGCGCTACTCCTCCCCTGCCACTGCTGCACTGAGCCGTCTCATGCTTCCCTACCTCTTTCCTGACCTCTCTGCCTTTCCCACTGTCGCTGACCTCATTACTCACCTCCGCACTAGTGACACTCGCTACCGCGCCGCCCTTCCTGCTGAGTTCTGCGCTAAGAACCCCCCCCCCATGTACATCGCTCTCTACTACGTAGTCGCGCGCCTCCCTGACTCCCTTCGCGTCGTCAGGGACCACTTTCTCGCAGTCTGTCCCACCACCCTCACCGTCGACCTCCTCGAGAAGGCCCTCCTCGCAGCGGAGAAGAGCATAGTCGCTGTAGGTGCTTCTCGTGGTGACCCTCGCACCCCCATCTTTGAGGGGTGCTCTCCTTCCCCCTTGCTGCCCTCTGTTGCCTCTACTGCTGCTGCCGACCTGCTTGGTCTTGAGTCGGTCGGCGCGGCGTCTGCCCCTAGTGGGAGACGTCGCTCCAGCAAGGGCAAGGGGGGCAAGGGCGCGGGTGGAGCTGGAGGGGGCGGTGGCGGTGGCGGCGGTGGCGGCGGAGGGAGTGGGGGTGGCGGCGGGACTAGTGGCGGGGGTGGTGGTGGTGGTGGCAGCAGTGGCGGAGACGGTGGTGGTGGTGCCAGCGGTGGTGGTGGAGGCAGCGGCGGTGGTGGAGGCGGCGGAGGTGGAGGCGGTGGAGGCGGCAGCGGAGGAGGCGGTGGTGGTGGAGGAGGTGGAGCTGGTCGAGGTGGTACCCAGCAGCGTAGCGGCGGTGGTGGTGGCCAGCGCTCGCAGCGGCAGCAGCAGCAGCGCTCGCGGAACATCCCTCCGCCTCAGCAGCTTCGTGAGTGGTACGCTGGGCGTCAGAGGGGTGGGGGTACTGGTCCCTGCACCTACGTTCTTCGTTCCGGCGACCGCGCGGGTGAGCAGTGTGGGGGTGCCCACGCCACCCAGCGCTGCTTTGGCCGCCTGACGGACGCTTGGCGTCAGCAGTTCCCTGGGGCTAGTGAGATCCCTCGCTGGGATGAGCTTCTCAGGGCTGGTGTAGCGATCTTTGATCTTGATTTTGATGCTATCCTTGCTTCTATGTATGTTGTGGATTATAGTGAGGAGAATGAGGGTTACCGGTGTTTCCAGCCCGACCCGGGCATTGGTACTGCTGCGCTAGGTGCTTGTGAGGCTGCTGCTCTAGGGGCCAGTGCGACTGCGCTCTCAGGTACTGGTGAGACTGCGCTCTCTGGTACTGCGTCGTCCTCGTCCTCCCTCACTTTCACACTTGACTCCGGGGCTTCTCGCTCCTTCTTTCGAGACCGCACTACCCTTACGCCGCTCGGCCGGCCGGTTGCGGTCTCCCTTGCTGACCCCTCTGGGGGTCCTGTCCTTTCTCACTTCTCCACTGTCCTCCCGTGTCCGGCTGCCCCTTCGGGCACCCTGTCTGGTCTGTACCTTCCCTCGTTCTCTACGAACTTGGTGAGTGGAGCGGACCTGCAGGATGTGGGGGTTCACCAGTTCACTCCTGCGCGTCAGCGGGTGACCCACTGCACGGAGGCACGCACAGGCCGACACCTGGCCACGTTCTCGCGTCGGCCGGGGTCGAGTCTCTACACCCTGACCGTTGAGTCTCCTCCTGTCCCTGCGTCTAGTCAGGTGGCTGCGTCGGGTCAGGTGCTTGCTGCTGCGTCCTGGTCAGGTCCTGGTCTGCCCCCTGTTCTTGTCGCCTCCTGTCTCACGAGACTCTCCTGTGGCACCACCGTCTTGGCCACCCCTCCTTGCCCCGTCTTCGGAGCATGGCTTCCCGTGTCCTTGTCTCTGGTCTTCCCCAGTCTCTCCCTCCTCTCCCCTCCGGACCAGGACCTTCCTGTGTCCCCTGTGTCGAGGGTCGCCTCCGGGCTACTCCTCACTCCTCCCACTTCCCCCCGACAGAGGCTCCCCTGCCGACGCTTCACATGGATGTGTGGGGCCCAGCCCCCGTCCGTGGGCAGGGTTACGAGCGCTTCTTCCTGTTGGTGGTTGACGACTACTCGCGTTACACCACAGTCCTCCCCTTGCGCAGCAAGGGTGCGGTCACTGAGGTGCTGATCGACTGGATCCGCGAGGCTCGTCTCCAGCTCAGGCAGAGCTTCGGCTCGGACTTTCCTGTTCTGCGTCTGCACTCGGACAGAGGCGGAGAGTTCTCTTCTCGCCTTCTGCGGGACTACTGTCGTGCACGGGGGATTCGCCAGACCTTCACGCTTCCGGACTCACCACAGCAAAATGGGATTGCTGAGCGCCGCATTGGCATGGTCATGGATGTCGCTCGTACGTCCATGATGCATGCGGCTGCCCCCCATTTTCTGTGGCCGTTTGCGGTGAGGTACGCGGCGCATCAGCTCAACCTTCACCCCCGGGTCTCTCGGCCTGCGATGTCCCCAGCCTTGCTGTGGACGGGGAAGGTTGGCGATGCGTCTGTGTTCCGTGTCTGGGGATCTCGGGCGTTTGTCCGCGACTTGTCTGCGGACAAGCTGTCCCCTCGTGCTGCTCCCTGTGTCTTCCTTGGCTTCCCCACTGACGCCACAGGGTGGCAGTTTTACCACCCCTCCTCTCGTCGTGTTCTGTCCTCCCAGGACGTCACGTTCGACGAGTCAGTCCCCTTCTACCGTCTCTTCCCCTACCGCACTCCTTCCCTCCCCCCTCCCCCGGACTTCCTTGTGCCGGTTCCCCCCCCGGTAGAC